CATTCATCTCACTGTTCATCCTGCCTTCGGAATTACCATCTGTAATCAATGTGCTAGGCTAAAAGGGACTCAAGATCAGTTAGACTCACAAGAGCATGCAGTAGTTGCTGGGCAAGCCACATCTCTACAGAAATAGGGATCAGACATACGCTTAGGTAATGGAGATAAGGGATCAAAGCTAAACAGAAAGAAGAGCAGAAACTAATCATGACACCATGGTTAAACACCCAAGACACCAGGATTGGGAAATAGTACATGACAAAGGGATTACTTTTGTGTCTGACTCATAAAAATTACTCAAACTGAGTCCTTTGAAACCTGGGCTCTTTGGTAAAATGGCTGATTCTAGATCTGAGGCAGAAAAGGTACAAGGTGAGCCTAAGACATTCTTTTGGGCCAGAGATCAAGGGAACATTTAGACTAATGTGGTGACGTCAAAAAGATTCAGGAGTCTTGAAGATAATTGATCACTTTAACTTACTGAATAAAGCAAATCCATGAATCCATAGTGATGACAGAAAAACAGAGAGTGAGAGAGCATGTGTACAGGGAGAAAGACTGTCTTACAGAAAGATGCCAGGTCATGAATGTATTTAATAGAAGGAATGACAGAGAAAAAACAAATCACCATTTTTGCAATCCCAGGGGTAATAGATTCAGACAGCAATCATTAATGGATGCCAAAAACACCGAGTAAAATGTTATAGATGCTTTCAAAGAATCACCCCACAGATGACAGTGGAGGGATTTGCCAGTCGTCACTCTTTAACCAAGTGTCATAACTGATAGTGGATAACCTGACATGACGCAATGACACAACTATAATTATCTTTACACACAAACACTGAATCAAGGCATTAGATCCAGCTTCTACTTTACAAAAAAGAGATGAATCAATTAGGACAAACAAACAATCAGATAAATCCAGAATGCACAATATTCTAGCCTGAACTTGTGGCTCATGCCTGTGAGCCCAGCACTTTGGGAAGCTGAGTTGGGCAGATCATTTGAGATGAGGAGTTCGAGACCAGCCTGGCCAACATGGTGAAACCCCATCTCTACTAAAAATACAAAATTAGGCCGGGCACAGTGGCTCACGCCTGTAAGCCCAGCACTTTGGGAGGCCGAGGCAGGTGGATCATGAGGTCAAGAGATCGAGACCATCCTGGCCAACACGGTGAAACCCCATCTCTACTAAAAACACAAAAATTAGCCAGGCGTTTGGCACGTGCCTGTAGTCCCAGCTACTTGGGAGGCTGAGGCGGAAGAATCACTTGAACCCAAGAGGCGGAAGTTGCAGTGAGCCGAGACTGCAAGACTGTGCTCCAGCCTGGCAACAGAGCAAGACTCCGTCTCAAAAAATAATAATAATAATACAAAAATTAGCCAGGCATATGGTGCAGTTGCTCAGGAGGCTGAGGCAGGAGAATCACCTGAACCCAGAAAACAGAGGTTTCAGTGAGCCAAGATCGTGCCACTGCACTTCAGCCTGGGTGTCAGAGTGAGACTCTGTCTAAAAAAAAAAAAAAAGGATAGCAGATGGAGATGGGGGACTGTTCTGAATTAAAAGTAATCAGAGAATCAGAGACATGCCATAGCCAAACATAATAGGTAAATCTGAATTGGCTGGTGGAGTAGGGGTAAAATAGCTATAAAAGACATTCTTGAAACAACTGGGAAAATTTGACTATGGACTGAAAACTGGATAAATTTTATAGAATTGTTAACTTTGCTAGATATTATAAGGTTTCATGGTTAGTTGAAAATGTCATTATTCTTACAGATATATGCTTAAGTATTTTGGAGTAAAGTATGATTAACCACAAATGGCTCAATTAAAAAACTACACATAAACTTAGAAACCTAATGAGGCAAATGTCAGCTGGTGAATCCAGATAAAGGTTATGTGTGTATTTATTGTACTATTTTTTTCTTGTTTGTATTTTTTAATTAAAAAAATCTAAGTATAAAAATTCTACACAAGAAAAAAAGTTGAGTTCCTTGGATTCTCCAGAGTCACTGAAGAAACAAACAATGAATAGAAGTAGATCTGATCACTTTTGGCAAGTCACGGTGGCTCACAACTGTAATCCTAGCAGTTTGGGAAGCCAAGGCGGGTGGATCACCTGAGTTCAGGAGTTCAAGACCAGCCTTGCAAACGTGGTGAAACCCTATCTCTAAAAATACAAAAATTAGCTGGGCATGGTGGTGCACACCTGTAATTCCAGCTACTCAGGCGGCTGGGGCAGGAGAATTGCTGGAACCTGGAAGGCGGAGGTTGCAGTGAGCTGAGATTGTGCCAGTGCACTCCAGCCTGGGCAGCAGAGTGAGACTCCATCTCAAAATAAATAAGTAAATAAAAAGTTGACACAAAAATTAACATGAAATGGACCACTGACTTAATAAAAGCGAAAACTATAAAGCCCCTAGAAGAAAACAAAAGAGAAAGTCTTTGAAACTTAGTGATAGGCAAAAATGTCTTAGGACACAAAAAGCACAAATCATGAAAGAAAATATTGATAAGATGGACTTCAACAAAATCCAAAACATTTGCTCTTCCTAACACCCTGTTAAAAAACTAAAAGGGTAAGTCACAGGCTGGGAGACTATACTGGCAATACAAACCTCTTAACAAAATATTAGTATTAATCCCTCTCACCTAGATTACTTCAACAACCTCCTACCCGGTCTTCCAATTCCCAAGCTGGCCCTGCAATCTCGTCATCATTCAACAGCCAGACTGATCTTTAAATCAGATCATATTGTTTGCCTGCTTAAAATCCTCCCATGGCCTCCTACAATATATGGAATTAAATCTACACTCCAATCTTTGGCAAAAGGCCTGTATGCCCATCCTTATTGTTGCATTTTCTGTCTCTTCCCACCCACTCACACACTATGCTCTGGCCATAATGGCCACTTCCTATTTTGCTATTAAAAGCTAAACTTGCTGCTCCCTCTGCCAGATACTGTTTCTTTGCATGCCTGACCAGCATTCTCCTTGTCACAGCTCAAGTGACACCTCACTGAGGCATTCCCTGACATGACCCCTCCAGTCACTCTATCCCTGTACCATCTCTTTACTTACCCTACCTGAACTTTACTTTAGTCTTCTCCTCTGGAAAAGATTAAATCCATAAGAGCAAAAGGAGCTGTTTTGTCCATTAGTCCATGTCCAGTAGTGCTTGGAACACAGTAGATGCTCCAAATTTTTAAATGACTCATGACATACCTACTATATGCCAGGCACTGCGCTGGGTAGTTACTGACTGAATGGTTTAAATGTGTTGTTTAAAGCCCCTTTTTCATCCGATTACCCTGTTTTAGAAAAAAAAAAGTATTTTATATTCTCAGATCTATTTAAATAGCTGAATGCTTCTTAGTATTTTTTCAAGAGGCTAATTTACTTTCAAGTAAATTGCAAAATCTGAATTTCATCTTCATGTAGGATCAGTGCTTTGGCCTAAATGAAACATTCATATTATTTTGAACAACTCACCCTCACAAGGATGACTAAAAGAAACAAACAAACAAAAATAACATGTTACTGAGGATGTAAGGCAACTAGAACTCTCATACACTGCTAATAAGTATAAATTAACTACTTTGGAATAGTGTTTGTCAGTATCTATATATCCCCTCTGACCTAGTAATGCATGCCTACATATATACCCAAAGGAAATGCATGCATGTGTTCACCAGAAGATATGGACAAAACATTCATGGCAGTCCTATTCAAAATAGCCAGAAAGTAGAAACTATTCAGATGTCAAAGGTCCATCAACAAAACAGTTCTATATACACACAAAGGAATACTACACAGCAACAGTATAAATGAACTGCATACAACAACATGGATCTAGCTTATAGATTAAATGTTGAACAAAAAAGCCAGATGCCAAAGAATACATATATGTTATACTTCAATTAAACATTTATAGGGGAAGGCAGGAAATTGAAAATATGTGTTCTTACTGGTGTGTGCTGGTGGAGTGCTCCCCCAGAAATTTTCCACCTGATGTTCCTTGAAAGTTAGATCCTTGAATTATGAGGTATTAGTATTTTAGGACATAAATTGGCCTACTACAATAACATTCTTTTGAAGTCACATGTTAAAAATTCATGTGAATTCCCTATTCTTCATCCACACATACTGAACAGAAATATTTTTCAAAAAATATTTGTGGAAACCTAATATTGAAGAAAAATGGGCTGTGATCATCCTATGGTTGCAGGTACTCCAGACACACTGCCTCACACTTTGGTTTTAAAAGAACTGGTAGAAAGTAGATTAGTTATGGTTAGATATCCTGGTGTGTATCTCAGATTCCAACTAACTGTGGAATCTGACAATCTGGCAATGTGACTGTGCGCAAGTTCCCTAAACATTCTGCAGCTATGCCCTCATTCAAATCGTTAGGAACAAACAGTTTCTCTTCAAAGGGTTTCACCCCCCCTTGTCCTTTGTTCTATTTTATAAGTAATCTTTCCTGCCTTTAACAGGCCCAGGCATGCCTCCATCCACCAAGCTTGTAGCCAACCCACACTGCCTTACTTTAAGTTGTTAAGTACAAACAATCAACTTCTTGGTTCATTGTCCTATTCTAAATGCTAAATCTAGCCAAATGGGCTCTAGATTGTTCAGTCTGACCCCAATTAACAGGAGGAGGACACAGAAACAGGGACAGCATTAGGAATTAAAAACCCCTGCTTTTCTTTATTCAGTGTGCTTCTGTGATCGTGACTAACACAGGCAGCACCCTTCTGCAGAAGTAAATTGCCTTGCTGAGAAAACTTTTTGCCTGAGTGCTGGTTCTTCTTTGTGGCACCGAGCATTTGTTTCCAACAGTATAACAAAGATAATAATACCTATCTCACAAGGTGGCTTGAGAGTTAAATAAGATGATGTAAGTTATTAATAAATACTCAATGTTGTTAACCTCTTCCTTCCCTACTGTGTAAGGAGTACTGGGGTGGAAAAAAAGAAAGTCAACAAGCTGTTTGCTGCAATATATATATTTTAATTCAAAGTGAATCGACAGTAATACACCATAAATTCTTATTTTGACACTCACCAAAATAGTCACCTGGAAAACCCGCTTTTTGTGACAAAGTACAGAAGGCTTGGTCACATTTAAATCACTGAGAACTAGAGAGAAATACTATCGCAAACCGTAATAGACATTACATCCATAAAATTTTCCCAGTCCTTACTGTAATATTGCACAGTGCAATTGCTACATGGCAAACTAGTGTAGCATAGAAGTAAAAGCAAAAACAAACACAAAAGAAAGAAAGAAAGCCACAAATCTAAAATTGTTAAACAATTAACAGTTCAAACTTAGTAATTAAATCTGTATCACTGGATTCATTAAAACAAATCTTCCTACACCTTGCAGTGTATGATTTAACTTTTACTTAACACAGACAAGTTTAAAATTAGCAGATTTTAAAAATGAAAATGTTTTGCTAATACAGTAACATATTTAATTAAACACCCTGGAGAAAAAAAAACAACTAAATATCAGAATATTTGATTAAAAAAAACATTTTGCAAATTAAAATAGTATGCAAATATGCAACAGAAATCATGCAGTGTTTTATTTAAGAAAGCATTAAAACTAAAGAAAACTTGTCAAAATGGTTTTTAAAAGGTATAAATCCAGATTACTTTGTCAATATGCTAAATGAAGAATTTCGCAGAATTTTGAAATTTATTTTAAAATACATTAAAATACCCATGATTGCAATTAAAGAGCAGTGTACTTAACTGAGATACACCTTTATCAAACATTCATACTGCATTATGAAAATGTTGAAGTTTACCATTTATGTCAATTTACAAGACTGCTTTAAGTCTTGGAAATTAAAGACAAAAAATACAACATTTCAGGATAGTAAACATGGCCCTAAACAAAAAGAAAACTGTGTCGGTTTTGTACCTGTTGTGATACAATCAATCATTTGCACTTGGTATTTCTGAAACAAAGTGTTGCCAGCATTGATTCTTTCCTAAGAAGTGAGTAGATCCCAATAATCTGCTGGACCATATAAATAAAATTAGAAGGCTGTGGAGGCCAGCAAATTTACTTAAATAGTGACTCCATAAATGTGCATCTGTAAATAATCTTTTAAATTAATCTTAGGCTACTCCTTTTTAAACATGTATTTTATATATTTATATATATATATATATATATATATATATATATATATTTACTTCTATTTGTATAAAATGCATAGAATTAATTACTAAAAACACTGAAACTTGTGGGGAAAATTAAGTTCTTCATTTTCAGTGTGACTAAAAATGTACTGCTGGTTTTTACTTGATGATCTAACACTGTAATTTTTAAAATCAATTTCAGGCACATTTATTTCATTGATGATTATTAAATAAAACACTGCTTGTGTTAATGGAGTAAAGAAAACTTATCCATTATTAGCTTATTGTGAATGCTGTACGAGAGCTGTACTAGTGGTATACAATTCATTTATCAAAGAAACGCTGTAAATCCAAAACATCTAGAGAGTTTTACACTCAAATGCTTTGTACTGCTTATTCCAGTAAATGCTGTAAGATTATATTCCAGATTTTTAAGGAAAAAAAGTTAAGTCAAGCCTGCAAGATACAGCTTTCTCATGTGTCTAAATGCCAGTATGAAAATAAAAAATTAAGTTACGTTGATACATCCAAGTTTTTTTAAAATGCAGTGATGAGCACAAACATTAATAGAGATAAAATACTGATGCAAATAACACACCCCAAAATAACAAATGCAATTATTTTCCATCATTTACAATACAGTAGTTACAATGACACTCCAAACAGAAAAGCAAAGTAAAAAATCAAAACCCCAACTTCTATTCATGTAATTAGACTTATACAGAAATTAGAAGGCTAAATAACAACTAGTTAATCACCTAATTTCACAGCTATCTGAAGTGGCAATCATTATATAGCAGCTTATCTATGATACATTCAAGATAAATGATACAATTTATTACTTGCCTGTAAGCTAAAACACAGCCTCAATTTAATACCTTTCCTTAAATTCCACCTCTATACTACAATATACTTGAGGTCTATGCAAAAAGTAGCTACCTTTTATATAGGAAATGGATGATTAAGTCTTTGGTGCTGTAAAAGCATCTTCATTTAAACAGACATAACCACTACTATCACCACCACCCAAAAAAGAAAATAGTTGGTGGGGGGAGGGGGGGAACTCAACACACTTCCTAGGAAAAAAAAAAGCATGTAATTTCTGTCCCTGACGGAATGTATTAAATAAGCAAACATCACCAACAAGCAAAACAAGTACTGCAATGTAAAAATACTTTAAAAAAAAAAACCCTCTCACATGCATAAATCAAAAATTGCACACAAAGAACTCACATCTTTTCAAGCTTCAATAGTAAATGTTCTGCTACTATTTATTAAATACTGCATGGTTTGCCCAAGCTAAGATAAAACCACATCATGAATCAATGAGCATTTTGCATTTTCTTTTATTATCTACCCGAAGTCATGCCTACTGTACCTCTAAACATTTTAAGTCCAATTATACAGCAAACACTCTCAAAATAAACTTAGATTGTATTGCAGTTTCACTTAATAGTATATAAAATGCTGTGCTGTGACAGTTATCAACTATCCATTAGATACTGAATCAATTTTTCTTAAGCACTACTAACTGCTTGCTTTTCTTGAAGCTAGATCATTCTGAAAAATCAGACAGCAGAATTCAGCTATAGCAAACATGCTGCCCTCTTAATAAGGAAAAAACAGCTACTACCTGAAATCATACCACACAAAAACAAAAATAAACATTACGCTATCAAAAGGAAACTAAAAAGTAGGTCTGAATTTTAAGTGCTGCAGTCCTCAACATTTATATATAGGTAATAACATTAACAACCTCAAATATTTAAGGCACTATGTGTGGGAACGGTTTACAATGCAGCTGAGATTATTAGAACAACATTTAAGAGCAAAGTCTAGGCAACATTTTGCCCATGCAAAAGACACATGCAAATGTAAAGAACAATAGCTCAATTTCTTAGGTAAGTGACCCAACATTTATACACTAAGACACGGATAATACAATTCACTTGTATGCTGTAATTCTGACATATGTGCATCTGTTGCTCTAAGTCTGTACACAGAATGGCTTCCCAAATGTGGACGTGTCTTGCACTAGTTAGAAGGCAATTTATAAAAAATAGCAGGAGCAAAACTGGACTTCTGCTCCCATAAGTCACCTGTCTAGAGTTACTACATAAGAAGATAACATGACCAAAGACAAGTTATACCAAATGTGCAAAACACATCAAAAGTGAGTTTTTAAAGCTCAAAGTTGTTTAAATTGCACCCAAGTCTACATGATTCAAAAATAATTTTCTTGTGCCATGGCTAATATTTATTAAATACCATGTTTTTATTTTTAATCAAATGTTTGTATCATTGAGCTTCCCCAGTATACTGTTTTTCACATATATGGATACTGGCTGAGTTTTGTTGGACTCAATGGAAATCCAGTATATGCAGGTGATGCTGCAATGTAAGAATGTGGTGGGAAGATTGGTTTGTACTGAGTCTGATGAATGGTTGGGGATGGTAACAGACGGGGATTTAAGCCCACTGGGAGTTGGTGAACTATGCCACTGGGATGGGAGATACTATAAGTTGGATGCTGTAACATAGGTCTTGAGGTACATGGAGAGGCTAAGAGGTGGGCCACTGGCGCAGCACTACTGAGGGTGGCTGACGATGGGTATGGAAGTAGAGTAGGCTGTCCTCCAAGATGTGTATTTCCAGCCAGGTGGGCATGCACTGCTGTGTGATTGGGACTTCCATGAGAAAGAGTGAATGGATTACTGGTAACACTAGTAGGGATATAAGCTTGCTGTCTTCGATGCCCAAAGTTTCCATTCCACTCTTGATGCCCAGATCCAAAGTGCTGAACCTATCCACAAAGAAAAAAAAAATGACTGAATAACATATTTTATAAGATAAAAGGAAAGGAAGAAAGGGAAACTACAATATACTCTTTGTGACTGATAACTCATAGTGGATCTCTAAGAACTAACTTATACTAAGAATAACTAGAGGAGAGAAAATACCAATTCCACATATATTAGTATTAACAGTTTAGTATTTATTACTATATATTATTATAAACACTGCTATTACTGATGCTATTACTACCTATTACTATTGCCATCACTACTAATAGCTACCACCTATGGAGCACTTATTATATGTCAAGCTAACGTTTACACACAATGTTATTTACCTCTAAAGCAACCCATGATTTGGACCACTATTCCCATTAACTGTGGTCTAAATCAGATTTGTTGGAGACCTGGCCAAGGTGATATATATACATATATAGTACATGGCAAAAACAAGATTTGAATCCCGGTCTGACTCCAGTGTCTGTGACCTTTTCTTTTCCCAAGTGAAACACAACCACCAAACACAATGTTGAATAAGATGGAAAGTATTCAGGAAGGTTACTTGATGTTCTGAGATAACAGACACACTCTGTTAATATTATCTAAGAGAACCGAAGGACTTAATCTCTCTGAAGAAGGCTGCAAGTTCTATGGATAATTTGCTTAATTATCCTATTATTTAAGCCAGTTACTCTTTAGCCACTTGGGATAATAAGAAGGGACAAAGTCATTAAGACTACTACAGTTTCAAAAGCTTTCTCCTCCATGTGAAAAACAACTGCTAAATTTGAATCCCAATGACTCCTACAAATCCACAAATGAATGTACCTGACTGAAGTTCAAATGCTGCTGCTGGAATGCTGATGTCAATTTTTGCTGACGAGTACCCACTGTGGAAGGCTGGTTTAATCTTCCAGGGGCTGGTCGCCCTTTTATTAATGGCTGGCATATATAATCTGGTAACAAATAAAATATTAAAGAGTGTATGCTTTTTCCTTTTCGAATAAAAAATAAGTAAAGCCTTTAGATATTTTACACAATAGTGATTTGAGAACCTTAAAATTAAATAAAATGAAAAGAAAGGTCATGGTTTCCAAGCACTGGATATTAAAACATTTCCTCTGTATAATACATAAGGCAGGGTCAAAATTCAGAGATGACTTTTGGCAACTCCATTCTCTGATGTTCCTAAATTCAGACCACATTTAAAGGACAACCAGAGAAACAGAAGAATTCAACTTACCTGTGTTTGCCATATGCTCATCGGCATTTAAGCCATTCTCTAGTTCCACTGGTGGCACCACAACAGAACAGACAGCTGGTTTAGTTTCTGTGTCAGCAGAGGTTACCAGTTCTGTGTTTTCACGAGTGTCCTCCACAAAAGTGCTCTCTGCAAATGGACTGTCATGCCCAGAAGAGTCGGATGTTGGAGAGCCATCTACTGTATCACAACCACTTTCTTGCTCTTCATCTGACATACTACAAAAAACAAGCATTTTTATGAGTGATTTTTTTCCAACATTAAATCTAATGCAGGCTCCAGTGAACTGATGAGAATGTCATTCAGTTATTTTATACATAATTACACCTTTCTCCTTGTCCAACAGCATTTTTTCATAAAATTTCTAGACCCTTAAATTAATTCTCTGTTCCAACTGCTAAACCTAATTCTGTCCCGTTTCAGGAACATCATTTTGGCACTTTTTTCTTCTTTCCCTTCTCATTTGATCCTTAGTAGCAGCTCATAAAATTCCTCTTTATAAATTCCAGATAATTTCATCAAGACATGACAAAAGAGGCACTGCTCTGGATAATTTAAATTAAATGTACAAACATATAGGCATGTGGCTTGGATATTCAGATTAAATTCTAACGTCAGGATGTGTGCCTCTCCTGGTAATCTGGGTCCTTTCACGTAACCAGTTATCTGAAAGGTAGCCCCACACCTCTGCAGGCCTAGACAGAGCCCCTATTTCTCTTCTCTTCCTGACACTCTTAGGCCCTGACAGGCTCTCTCTCCTTGGGATTTCTACAGCATTTATTGTCTATTTTCACCACTCATTTCGTATGTACTTACGAATTTGAAGCATCTCTTTTTATAAATATTTTATTTTTATTTATATATCTTATATGTATATTTGTACATTTATTTTACATGTGAATGTATAGTTATATACGTTATCGATTTTCAAGCCATATTATAAGCAACTTATAAGAAAAAGATATATTAAAATTTCTTTACATCTTCTATAGAGCTTTGGCTATAAATATGTAATATCATATTTCCTATTTCCTAAGGGAAAAAAAAAGAAGACATGTAAAATTAAAACTTGAAATTTTCCAAATGTTTGTTGCCACTAAAAAAAGATTTCCTTTCTTTCTTTCCTTTCCCTCCTTCTTTCATTTCTAAGAGACAAGGTCTCACTCTGCTTCCCAGGCTATATGGTGCAGTAGTATGATCATAGCTCACTGCAGCCTCAAATTACAGGGCTCAAATCATCCTCCCACTTCAGCCTCCGAGCAGCTGGCCCTACAGGCATGCGCCACCACATCCAGCCAAATTTCTAATTATGGAAGAAGGTGGGTCTTACTATGTTGCCTAGGCTGGTCTCGAACTCTTGACCTTATGTGATCCTCCTACCTTGGCCTCCCAAAGTGCTGGGATTACAAGTGTGGGGCCACTGTGCCTAGACTGTGGCTTATCTCTTAATGTGTTAGTAACTCATTCTGCTTAGGACAAGCTTACTATTTAGCAGCAGTACATGTTGCTGGCCAAAGGACAGGTAAACCAGGTTAATATGGACAAAATCCAACAAATCAGTTACCAATGGGAGAAAAAAATCATAGTGGATGTCCTGTAGACAGACAGCGGGCCAGTGAGTACTTCATTATGCAAAACTTTCCTTTTTAATTTTGTTAATGTTTTTGTTCCGAATTTAGGTTACAATAATAGTAGTATGTGGGGCTGAAATTAAGAATGTGGCTTTTTTACCCTCTCAAAAATAGATTATTTGGCCAGGTGTGGTGGCTCATGTCTGTAATCCTAGCACTCTGGGAGACTGAGGCAGGTGGATCACCTGAGGTAAGAAGTTAAGAGACCAGCCTGGCCAACATGGTGAAACCCCTTCTCTACTAAAAATACAAAAACTTAAGTCAGGTATGATAGTGGGCATCTGAAGTCCCAGCTACACGGGAGGTTGAGGCAGGAGAATCACTTGAACCTGAGGAGGCAGAGGTTGCAGTAAGCCAAGATCGCACCACTGCACTCCAGTCTGGGTGACGGAGACACTTCATCTTTGCCCCCGCCCCACCGCCTCCCAAAAAGGATTATTTAGTTGGGTACGGTGGCTGACACCTGTAATCCCAGCACTTTGGGAGGCTAAGGTGGGAGCACTGGTTGAGCCCAGGGGTTCGAGACCAGCCTGGGCAACAGGGTGAGATCCTGTCTCTATGAAAAATTTAAAAATTAGCCAGGCGTGGGTGCATGCACCTGTGGTCCCAGCTACTCAAGAGGCTAAGACAGGAGGATCACTTGAGCCTGGCAGGCAGAGGTTGCTGTGAGCTGAGATCATGCTACTGCACTCCAGCCTGGGCAATAGAGCAAGACCCCGTCTCAAAAACAAACAAACAAAAAAAAAACCTATGTTTATAACAACTGATCTAGTTCAAAAATTGTGTTGAAGAGAGAAGTCACTGGAGTACATTGGCAGGTACTTACTAATTTAAACAACAACAGAAAGAAATCATAGGCTTTTAAGTAGACTTACTATGTATTATACACTATTATTGAGATTCTTTTACCTATTCGGTCTCTTGCAAGGGGATGGGCTGGACTGCCCTGAGGAGCTGGTACTCAGAGTACTATCAGGACTACTTAATGAACACATCCGATCAATATTCAAAGTGCTCTGGCAAGCTTCACAATCCAGACTACCTTTACATCTAGTGGAAGAGAAAAGAGGAAAACGTGAATCAAATATGAGAAGATACCCTCCAAATAGCCAAAATTTATATTCTTTAATTAAGGATATGAAACTGGTAAGAATGACCTAAATGAATGAAAAGTTAAAGCTTACAAATACAGGGAAAATGCTACAATTATGGTGTTAAATCCCTGTCTAGAACTGGAGTATCTAATTAAAGGTTTTACTCCAAAGGACACTGACAAACAAGTCACAGAAAGTTGTTTTTTGGCACACCAGAGGATGCCACCATTATCCTTTGAGGATGCAGCATTTGGCACTTACTCTCTGAGTGTATGTCTCTGCGAAGTCTCTTCCTCATCAGTGTCACTGCTAATAGTGATGACACTCACTGCAGGACTCGGGGAGTCAGCAATAATGATGGTTTGCCGCTGTTTGTCTGAAACTGATGAATCAGAGTTCTGTCTGATAGATGTTTCACAGCAATTTCTTGCCTCTCCTTCTGCGTTCTGATTGTCCTGTGTTTCTATACAACTTACTTCCTCGACATCTTTCCCATTAATTATCTTTGGAGAAATAAATGCTGAATGTGGGATATTGGTATTCTGCAATGAATTACTCCTGCAACCAAAGGAATAATTTATAATTTCTACAATCAAAATATGTATAATCAATTTTATAAGATTTCTTGTTAAACTGAAAAATGTGAACCTTCACTTATTCGAGTTCATGATATAACATACTAACAGATCATGAGTTTTTGTGAAATATAAAATAGCTCTAGAAATATCTAGAAATGCATTTACATACATTTAAATAGTCACTTTTTGGTAAACGTGCTATCTGAATGTCTACAATTGCTACATTACAAGTAGATAATAAATCAAAAGGGCAATGAAGACAATCTTACCAACTGAAAGCATTTATTTCCTCTCTTCCTGGCTCCCATTCCATTAGTTTTACCAAAATACCTCTGAGAAATTGAGAAGGGAGCTGGCTTAGTGTTTGTAACAAAGCTATAAAAGAGGTCATTTTGAATACAACAGAGTGACCCTTAAGTGTACATGCAAAATTCATTTTAAAGATTCTCAAAATGCAGAGGAAAATTAAAGCACCAACACCAACCTGTTCTGGCACAGTTTATTTTTCTTGGTAGTGGCAGGCTGAGGCCAAACAACATGTGCAATCCCCACACTAACTGGCTGAGGGGCAGATAAAGTTATCTGATTGGTCAGAAGAGGCTGCGGTATCACTGAGTTATACTGATTGCTGCGTGAAATAATCTTCCTACAGAGAAGTTCAGAAAAATGTTTTTAATCAAGATCTTTCTTTATCATGATCTATTTTACAAACTATTCACAAAGAAGCACTTTTGTTTTCAGCTTACCCCCAGTCTCCAAGCCTCTGTGAACCAGTTACACTCTCAGAAGTTAGTGTCGTAGTAGCAGGAGCCATGGGTGGTACCCGTTGCCAGGCAGGCACCAGCATCTGCTGTGTTCTACCAGACCACGTCTGCTGCATCAAAGTAAAACAATAGAAAAACTAACACATTGTAAGTAATTCAACTTTACCATCTCTTAAACTCAAAACTATCTAAAATAACAGCTAACAATTATAAACATTAAACTCAATAACCTATAAAATAGATTAAATCCCTATCCAGGTCATTTTCATTATTTCCCAACAGCACAAGCTGATATATGGCAAAAAATGAATTATTACCAACCTGTGAAAGAACTCCTGGTCGGATCTGTAGTGGCGGCACAGCTGGGGCCTGAGTTACAAGTGGAACTGTATTATCTACCCTTATTGAATAACTAGTGGGTTTACCATGTGTTGCAGGAATACCTGTGAAATAGAACAGTTATCAAATAAAAAAATCTTCCTCTTATTTAACTTATACAATTATTTTAAATGTAAAGAATTGCTTAAATTCTGTTTAAGTTTTTTTTTTTTTTTTTTTTTTTTTTTTTTCTTATTTTTTTTTTTTTTTTTTTTAGACAGGGCCTCACTCTGTTGCTCAGACTAGAGCACAGTGGCACGATCCACAGTGTAGCCTCAATCTCCTGTACTCAAGTGGATTCTCCCACCTCAACCTTTTGAGTGGCTGGGACCACAGGCATGCACTACCATGCCCAGCTAATTTCTTTAATTTTTGGTAGAAACAGAGTCTATCTATGTTGCCCAGGCTGGTCTTGCACTCCCGGGCGCAAGTAATCCTCCTGCCTCAGCCTCCCAAATATCTAGTATTACAGGTATGAGCTGCCATATCCAGCCTTGATTGGAGTTATAAAACCAATCTCTGCATAAAAATTTCATAACACTAACAGAGCAATCTATTAGGAAAATGAGGTACTTCTTGTCTACCTTGTGATATACAACATTCCAAAATTTATTTTAAAGTTCCTCTTTCAATTTCAAACTGCATACTCCAAAGGTGAACCATTTAATTTTCTTGAAACTTCTCATCTCCTATTAAAGTTTGCTATTGAAGCTTTATTTTCCTTTGTAAATAGTTCCATCTGGAAAGATGAATCTGGCTTAGTATGCTGACAACCTAGCAAGTAAATGTTCTTCTTTTCATATAAACTTTTAGCTATCCTTAGTATCTTCTTCTTTAAAACTGTGACAGAACCTTATGCTCTTGTCAGCAAAACAAATGCATCACAACTTCATAATTTAATGGAGTTAATGGTTCACATAATGGATGAAAATTCAAGGATGGCACACTCATTTCAACGTCCAAAGGAAAGGCAAAACTAACCTAATCTAACTAATTTGATGATAAAACTCAGGTTTCCCCAGTGAGGCTTAATTGACAAGTATTCTTAGCAGAGAGCTGCTGGAACTCCAAAACAAACATGCTACCATTTTGTTTGCCCACTAGAAAAATTAGAAAGCAGGGTTACCAGACATGTTAATCCTGTTAATGTTACTATAATGTTAATATATCTTTTTATTCACTGCAAAGCACCTTGCAACTATTAAGTCTTACAATATTGAACTTTGAGAGAGCAAAGTAGTATCACATTCCAACTTAAAGTTTTGAAAGATTTTAGGGACATCCCCGAAGATAGAAAATACATTAACTAAAATAATTTCACTATTTCATAATGCCAGTTTATTGTAGCAGTTACTTTCAACATGGGCTTGCAGATTATTTAAATATAATATAATCAATTTTGGGATAAAAGTGATGTTGAGCGTTTCTCTTCAGTCATAGAGAAAAACACTACAATTGTTTTCTTTCTCTATTGTAAAACCACCTCAAATTTTCTATTTCATTGATACAGGTGTTAATCCTAAAGCGAATGTCCATTTCAGCCTGTTTATTTTCTTCACTGAGACTGTTATCTTACTACCAAGGTGTTCTGCCTCTCTGTGCTCTACCTAAAGAGCCAGGTATGAGTCAAGTTTAATAAAAATCTTCTTACTCCTTCTAAAAAGCATGTCTTGATTATCCAATTCTCTAAGACATGGAATATAAGTACACCCATGCAGTGCAGATATATTTCAGCAACAGACAATCTCTTCAAGAAGAAAAAAAAAAAAAAA